GATCATTGACTGATAGGAAAGTGAGGCACAAAATGGTTAGATCACTCATGGCCACACAGAGACAGACTAAGCTTTAGATCGTAGGTTTCCTTATTTCTTCTTTTTCTAAATAATATTTTGTGTTTAAAGCAAAAATTTACGCAGCAAATTAGGTTCCCATTTACCAATTTTACACAAATTATTCAGTGATACTGGTTACATTTTTCACAATGTGTCATCCTCATTCATGCCGCTCTGGTTGTACCGTTTCCAGTACTCTCAGTATTCTAGTTTCCCTGCCCCCTTACCTTGTCATCTTTGCTTCAGAGTCATTTTCAACCATTTGTCTCCTATAGATGATTTTTTTTTTATAGAAACTCATTAATCATGGATAATATTCTCTATTTTATGAGCCAATCTGTTATTTAGCTAAAAGGCGATCTGAAGGGATTAATTTTGGTTTAAGGTTTAAACAGTGTCTCAGGGAATCCTGTAGTCTCAACCAGTCCAGTAAGTCTCCACTTTTTAAGAGTTTTAGTTCTGTTTCACATATTTCTCCCATTCTATCAGGATCCATCTATTGTGGCCCTGATCAGAACGATTGTTAGTGGTAACCACGCACCATCTAGTTCTTCTGGTTTCAGGGTAGAAAAGGCAGTGGTTTGTGCGACTATTAGTCCTATAGACTACTTTCTGCTCTGAGTCGCTGGTTTTCTTCTTTAGCTTTTGTTCCAGATGAGTAGAGACTAATAGTTATATCTTAGTTGACTGCTTACAATCTTTTAAGACCCCAGACACTACTCGCCACACTGGGATGTAGAAGATACACTTTATGAATAACATTGTGCCAATCGAGTTGTCCTAGAAGATTATGGTCCTAAATCTTCAAATTGAGAAAACCAGTCTCGAGAGGTGTTTAGTATGTCTGAGAAGTATTTGTAATGTATGCACATACATACCTGTATTTACGTAAGCCTATAGATATTTCAGAGCCCTGGTGGTGCAGTGGTTAAGCGCTATGCTGCTAACCCAAAGGTCGGCAGTTCGAATCCACCAGCCGCTCCTTGGAAACCGTATGGGGCAGTTCTACTTTGCCCTGTAGGGTCGCTATGAGTCAGAATGGACTCGATGGCAACGAGTTTGGTTGGTTTTTACTATAGATACTTCTTTCTGTGCATACATATGCACACACATATGCATATACTTATATGTCCATATAAATATTTGTATAACCACACACATATTTTTTGGTTGCTGTTGCAAAATTATGCTTGTCATATCCTTTACCAAAAACATCCTTTTCTCTTGTGTATTTCTTAGTGACATCATTTACCTTTGTTAAGTTATGTGCACTTCACCCACGTTTGATTCTACCTTTCTGATCACCAAAAAATACCAAGTGTGTGCTATCGCGAGAGTGCTTCCCACTCCTCCCTTCTCCGATAGCCACCAATGAGAGTTGGTCTCTGTAGGTTTCCTTACTTCTAAGTTTTTTTTTTTTTTTTTAACACTGTGCATCACAGAATTTTTGAAAACAATGAAAGACTCTGCAGTTGTTAAGGAAGGAGTGCCGAATCTCCCAGATGCCAATCTCCCAACTGTTCAGAATCCCAGCTGATGACTCTCTTTAAAGCCAGTCTTTATTCAAGAGAGATTCATATCACCAATCACTCTGTCCCAACTTGTTTCGCAATTATTCTTTAATCTGTATTATTTCCCTATTGAAGCACCGAACTTCTTTAGGTCAGAGACTGTGCTTCCTTTACCTTTCCTTTCCCCCACCCACCTCAGCTCTAGCCCTTGAAGAGCAGCATTAGGCTCTGCACAGGTTTTATCCTGCATGTGGGCAGCTTGCATCATCTCTTTCTGAAGTTCGCCTTCCTACTTTCTACAGTCCCTGATTTATGCCTCTGGACTCCATTTGCTAGAGGTATTAGTTTTAATTCAGCAAAAGCTAGGGATCTCCCAAGGGGAGGTGAGAAGGGACATCTGGGGACAGTTAGCAACAGGATCTGAGGATTGTAGCTTAGCACCCTGGGGCCTAATGTCAGGCATTGATCCCAGGACTTTGGTATCAGGTTGAAGAAGACAGTTTCTACTCCCCTAAGGGGCCTACAGGCTGGTCTCCTTTGGGGGTCAGGATTACTGGGAATACTAATTAATTCATTAGTGGGGTTGATGGATTATCAAGCTGTCTCCTGGCAAAGAGGCCTGGGGCGGGGGCAAGGGGGAACAGATTGCTGCCCATAAATCTGCCTGTTGCCTCCCTCCTCTCTGCTTCAGTGGCTCCCAGCATTAGGCCTGTGGGCCAGCAACCGAGTGCTGGTTGTATTTTCCCCACCCGGCAGATGGTTCTAACAGGTTAGCTCAGATCTTTACAAAAGCAGCAGAGCAAGAGGGAAAGGCTGGGGATTGGCCCTCTGGCCCAGGAACCATGTGGTGGGAGGAGAATAAATGCAAATGTCTTGCATTCGCTTTTCCTAGAGCAGCCACCCACCCCTTATCCTCTGCTGACTGCACGCACCCCTCCTGATCTCTTAGAATTGAACAGCCAACTGTACAACTGTTGAGGAGTTGTGATGAGGGTGACCCTGAGGAAACAGATTCCACTTCTCTATCTGCAGAGAGTACCTCTTAAAATTGTGTCCTCCTCAACTTCCTCCCAATGTGCACATACACACACACACACACACACACACAACTGAACATGTTTTGAGAGTTAATCCTATTATGTCAGTCCCATACATCTGTCAGAGAAAGCAAGAAGCCCCTGTAGAATGTTCTGTCCCCACCCTCATCTTTGTCTCAATATGTTCACCTTTCTGCTAATTCTCCACTCCTCCCTCCCTTTTGAAAATTTCACAGGCAGGATACCAACAACACTATTACCATAAAATTTCACATATTCGTGTACATGGCTTTGAAGACACAAAGGAGAGTATCAATCCATTCTATAAGTGCCCACTGAACAATTGCTAAGCACTTAGCTCTGTTCTATACACAAATTACCCCATAGATAGCTTTCCTCTGGCTGAAGAGTGCATTCAGATTTGGTTTTCAGATATCAACCCTTCCTATCATGTGCTTTGTAATTACTGTGGAAATGAAGTTGTTGTTAGCTGTCATTGAGTTGACCCCCGACTCATGGTGACCCCATGTATAACGGGATTGTACCACTGTGATCCATAGGTTTTCATGGCCGATTTTTGGAAATAGATCACCAGGCCTTTCTTCCCCATCTATCTTAATTTGGACGCTCTGCTGAAACCTGTTCAGCAACACAACAACGTGCAAGCCTCCACTGCTGCCTTTGAGGTGCATGGGCCAAAAATTGAACCCAGGTTTCTGTCATGGAGAACAAGAATTCTCGCAGTGAACCACCACTGCCCTCACTTCCTGGGTAGGGAGAAAAAAAAAAAAAAAGATGAGTAAGAGCTTAAAAATTGGTGAAATCAAACAACTTCCTATCATAATTGAAAAAAGAAAGTTAATTTTTATTCTCTTGTTTCTGTGAAGGGAAAGAGTCACATGAAATCTATGTAAGGATTTTTTTTGGTTTCAAATAACTATTTCAAACTAAGATAGTCCTTTCACCTTTTGGCAGCAGCAAGAATATCTTTTGTTGTAACCCTCTGTACCTTCCCTTGGACACAAGTCATGTTTATAGCTCTTCATTTCTGTTAGACACAGGAAACAATTATGTTGTAGAGCAAATGATTCCCCAAAAGCCTGGGGAATTTCTTTCAAGTCAGTTTCACAAAGTGGTTGGGTTTGGACTCATAATTCTATCATGCTACTGGTAGAAAGAAACTGAAATGATTAGCTCATTTTACAGATTCGAAAACTCATTCCCAGAGCATGGCGATTTACTCAAGATCAATCAGTCAATTACTTAATCCAGACACCCTCCCTTTTCCTGTTCAGAATTTCTAGAAGATTACAAAATCCCTGCCATTTTAAAAGGAACTCACAACTATTTATTTGGCTTTGGCCGTGTTTTATGTACGGTAGTAGTCCGAATTTGACAAGCACTAAAAAGAAGATTCTACACTTCCACTTGGTAGGCTGGTCTTTGTCATAAAGGTTATCTATTTGTTGTAAATCTTTTCAGACGTAGTTTTCCTTTTCTCTGCTAGCAACTTAATCACACTTTAGGACACTGTAGGGTTTTTCAGGATTATTGACCCTTTACTTCCAAGTTCATTCCCAATTGAGTGTAAATCTCTACCTGAATGCTTAATGATATATTGCTGAAAAACAATAGTGGATTTCAGTTTGCAATTTAAGGAACAAAATGTCTTTTATTAATTCGTTTTTATAAACTTCAAATAAACAGAAAAGGTGAAAGCATAGTACAAAAAGTACAGATATAACTTTATCTATATTGGCTAATGTAAAAAAAGACTTTAAATGGGAATAAGTTTAATTTAATGAAGGGAGTGGAGGATACTTTTTCCTTCTACTTTTAGTATTCCAAAGCTTAAAAGCCAAAGGCACCAATTCACGTGTCTAATGTAACAGTCACCAATGCTGTGTCCTGGACATGCATGTTTCCCATCTTTTGACTCTTTTCTTCGTGCATGGGCCAACAGTTTCATTCACTCTTCTTAGTTCTCTAAGTTCATCACCAATTTTCTTTCCCCAATTTGCCCACCCTGTACCACTTGCATTTCTTACTTTTTCACCACAAAGGTTCCCAGTTCTCTTTTTCTTTACCCATCAACTTCGGCAACCTTCCTCTTCCAACTCTCCTCCCAAACCCCCTTCCACCAACCCCACGAGCATTAAAGTACATCAAAAATAAAAATAATAAATAAATAGCAGAGCTGGACCTGGCCGGAGGAGCCCTTTGAAGTAGGCGTGTCTTTCGGCTGGGGAAGGGGAGGAGTTAGACAGCGGGCAGCATCTCCCCTCCTTGGTCAGCTGAGAGAGCAATCAAAACTGCCACAACTCGGAGGCTCTGGCCAGAGCGCAGGAGCTGCCCAAGGGCTGTGGTTCTGAAAGCTCCACTCCGGGGAGCTAACCAAGGAGAGAAAGTACTGAAGCTCCGAGTGGACCAGCTGCAACGGTGGCGTCAGCTGGAAGGCGTCCTGGAGGAGCACACAAAACTCCAAGGAAGGAGTAGAATAAGTAGCAGTCAGAGGTATCCCTAAGGGGTAGCGACTGGGTTTAACATGGATCGCTGAAGGCACCTCCTTCTCCAATGATCTGCGTGGTCAGGGGGACTCGGCGTGTCTGACCATCCTCTAGGACACAGATTCACAGAATTCACACCAGGGACTGCCACTGACAGAGGTGAGACAGCAGATGGGGTAGTAAGGGGGCTACTAAAGTTTCTGTGGGAAGTTCTCACAGATCTAGAGTTGAGGTTGGGGCAAGGAAAGTCTCTTCTGGGCTAAGGGAGGAGGGAGTAGGATTTAGAAAACATGCATAGGAAAGGAGAGAGGGACAGAATATGTTGGAACAAATTAAAATTTTAATAATTTCACTAATTCCCATAGCACCTGTCACTCGAAGTGAAGTATAGAGATAATTTGAAACATTTTTATAAAGTGGAGAGCACAGATTATCCCTCATTCCTGTCAAACCTACCATTCCATATTACTAACGCAGGAAAAAAAAAATGTCCAAAAAGTTTAACTACTTTTCTAAAGTAGTTTCCCAGCTAGTAGGTTGGAAGAATTGACTTAATCCACCACACTGTTCACAGGCTCTTTGGGCTATGCCAGGAGTGGAGGGGGAGGAAGGAGACTGAAAATAGAATAAGGAATGGGAGAAGATCTTGGAAAGCCATGGGATAGATTTCCACCATGGCCTCCATTTAATCTGCTAAAAAAAATCCTTAGATAATGGGAATGGAGTAGAGAATATTTCCTTTCCCTCAACTCTATCAGATGAGAAATCCGAAGTAAAAAATTACTCATGTATATCTTTTCCTTCCTCTGCCTCTCATTTATTTACCCACCAAAAAGTATATTCAGAAAATACTAATAAATATAAAAACCAAAAAAACCCCAAACCCATTGCCGTCGAGTCAATTCTGACTCATAGCGACGCTATAGGACAGGGTAGAACTGCCCCATAGGGTTTCCGAGGAGCCGCTGGTGGATTCTAACTACCAGTCTATGGTTAGTGGCTGAGTGGAGTATAAAAGGTTGGTTAGGGAGAGTACAGAATAGCCTACTGCTGGTTCCAGGCCATGCAGTATGTGTGCGAGCACCCTGGTCTGCATTCTGTCTTTTCAGTGCAAAGACTGCAACTTTGAACAAAACAGGTAGTCTGTATGGTCCTTAGATTCCCTAGAAACTGGCTCAAGTAATCCCTTTCCTATTGTATTTAGGATTTAGAATCATAGGACCAGGGAGTGAAGACAGTTCAATCAACTTTTAAGAGGAAAGACACTGCCAAACTACTACAAACACACGGGCAAGTGTCCTTTACTCATCTGTCCATCAGGGGAACCTTCTTCACAATAAAGAAAACGTTAGTCAAAGTGTAGCAAGAATTCCAGGATAGCTCCACAAGGTAGTAATACCCAATGATCTCAACCCCAGTTCTGAAATTGTTGGGTAGTCACAATCATTGCTTAAGCAAATAGTTTACTAACCCATTGCTGTCAAGTTGATTGGCGACCCCATGTGTAACAGAGTAGACGCTACACAGAGTTTTCTTGGCTATAATCTTTAAGGAAGCAGATCACCAAGCCTTTCTTGTGCAGCGCTGCTGCGTGGGTTTGAGCCACCAACCTTTAGGTTAGTAATTGAGTGAAAACTGCTTGTACCACTCAGGGACCTAAATATTTTGCCATAACAGGTTAAAAAAACTAGGAGAATTATTTCAAATCAGAAAGACTAAGCTAAACTTAAAATTTCATTGAAAGATCCTAAAGAGAGAGGAAAGTTCTGTTATATTGAGTGGATGTATAAGGAAATCCAAATACCAAAATTAAAGGCTAAAATGGGTTTTATAGAATGAGAATGTGTTTCTGTGTATGGAGCAAGTGGTATTCATTGATTTTTGTCATACTGGAATCTACTTTGTGTATGTTTTGAAAGCCAATTATTTTTGAGGGGCTGGGAAACTTGAGGTGTTGAATCGAAATATTTTGTGAGATAGTGCTGCAGACTTTCCCATACAGCTTCTATAAAACAATTACCCTTACATTTTGCATAACAGCTTTACAAAGCACTTGTGCTTGCTTTTCATAAAAACTTCTAAATGAGATAAAAACAAAACAAAACTGTCGCCATCGAGTCGATTCCGACTCATAGCGACCCTATAAACTGCCCCATAGGCTTTCCAAGGAGTGGCTGGTGGATTCGAACTGCTGAGCTTTTGGTTAGCAGCCATAGCTCTTAACCAAAGGAGAGGCAAAAATATTGTTTCCATTTTGCCCTAAGGGTAAAAAAATTAATATTTTTTCTGTGTTCATTAATAAGTAAGTGATGGAAGATGGTCCACATCTCATGCTTCTTTCAGTACACCTGAGTTGGTTCATTAACAGGGTAAAAGCCACATTAGAATTAGGTGTCTATTAGCAGAGGACCCAGCTGGTTTCCTTGATCAAAACTCAGAACTGCACCACTCACATTTTCAACTCTCAAATCAAGAGCTGGATGTTTGCTTTTTTTTTTTTCTTTCCCTGTTAGCCATAAAAATATTCGGGGAAAAACTAGTCAGAGGAAAGCTTTTTTGCCCTTTCTTTCTCTTTGAGGAATCCTGATTTTACTTCTATTTAAGAGACACTTTATTTTTCAATTCAGAACTCTACTACATGGTTATGGTGGGAAAGTTGTATTCCTAGTATTGCCTAATTAAAGGCTAAAGGAAAAACAGAGTTGCCAAGGATTGTCGTATCCCACTAGAAACTTTGTGAATCAGAAAATTTGTCCAGCCAACTGCTTTCTCCCATTAATATTTTTTGTTTTTGTTTTCGCTGTATCAGGAGTTTGGTTTATTTCCGTTCTTCTTGAGTTGTTTCCCTTCTTTTGTATTATCTTGATTATGTTTTGTGTTATTGAGGTATGTATGTCTTTGTAGCTGCCATTTGGTTAGTTGTGGTTTCCCTTCACTGGAGGGTTTGGAGAGTCAGGTACACACTGGGTCTATGGTGTCAAGCCATAGAAACAGTCTAACTTCCTTCTTGAATACAATGAAAGAGTTCAAGCCAATCCAGTGGAGGGAGACGACAGAATTCAGTTTCTTCACCCCTTGCAAAGAGTAAAAAACCAGTTGCAGTTGAGTTGACCCTGACTCCTGGCAACTCTATGTGTGTCAGAGTAGAACTGCACTCCATAGGGTTTTCAGTGGCCGTGATCTTTCAGAAGCAGATCACCAGATCTTTCTTCTGAGATGCCTCTGGGTAGACTTGAATCATCAACCTTTCAGTTAGCAGCTGAGCATGTTAACCATTTGCATCACTCAGGGACTCCTTCAACAGAATAAGAGTTTGATGTTTGGTTTCCATAGGAGGTTGAGGGAAGGGTGCATCAGGGGATTTTTTGAAGTGGGTGTTGAGATGGAGCCATTGACTTTTGTTGGTATGAATAAATACTAAGTACAAATTGTAATCATTCCTATTGACTTTAGGAATAATAATATTTAATATTTACATTAGAAACCCTGGTTGCATAGTGGTTAAGTGCTACAGCTGCTAACCAAAAGGTCGGCAGTTTGAATCCACCAGGCACTCCTTGGAAACTTTATGGGGCAATTTTACTCTGTCCTAGAGGGTTGCTATGAGTTGGAATCGACTCGACAGCTACGGGTTTGGTTTTTGGTTTTTAATATTTATGTGGCATTTATGATATGTGACCCTTATTCAATGTACTTTAAATATATTAACTCACTTTATCCTCAGGATAATACTGTGTGGTAAATACTGTTATTATTCTTAGTTCAAAGAGGAAACTGAGACACAGAGAAGTTATGAAACTTGTGCAAGTTCACACAGCTAGTAAATAGTGGAGCCGACATTTGAACTCAGGTAATCTGACCACAGAATCTGTACTATCTACCCCACTTTGAGAAAAAACAGGAGGCTTATTAAATAAAATCTATTTTCACCTGTGACAAACAATTTCTACTTTTGAATAAGCAAACATGCATAAATAAGAAAACTCAGGAATAAACACAAGATAAATATATAAGTAATATTTGTAGCAATTTTAGTTTATAAAACCCTTTCTCGTATTTTATTTGTCTTATAAGAGTTATGTAAAATATATCTTATCTGTATTTTATCAAAGATCAGAGAGTTTGCACAATGCGTTTGAGGTCAACCACCAGGAATTACAGGAGTGGGACTAGAGTTAACATCTGTCTCATTCCAACTTTCATGCTTTTGAAACCAAGCTATATATACCCATGGGATTCTCCTAGTGATAATGGACCAGTATCTATGGGAACAAAGGAAGTTAAACTGGAGTAATTGATGCTCCTCCCATGATAAGTAAAAGAACAAAGATAAAAATTGGTTGGACTTTTCACTGTTATGACCAAAGCCAGCTGGTTCATTTCTTTCATATCTCCAGATAATCTGATTTGAAGGTAGCTCCTAGACTCTTATAGAGACGATTAAATTATGTTAATGGTAAAGGTGGTCTATTCTACTCTCCCAACTCAACTTCTTGGTGGAGGTGACGCCTCACAGAGTCCAGAGGTATGAAGGACGGGAAAGAGAAGAAGGCCAAATACTTAAACTAAGATCATATTCAGATTCAGGGGCAATTCAGAAGCCTCACCTTTCCTGTCTTGCGTTTTCCTTCTCTCGTCTTCATGCATATTAGTACGACCCAGTGATTATGAAGGAGATGAGAAGAAGAGAAGGAGGAGAAGGAGGAGAAAAAGAAGGAAGTAAAGGAAAAGGAGAAGCAGGATTAAATGGGTGAAAGCCACAAGGAAAAAAAAAAAATGGGAAAGGAAGGAACCCTGGAATATGAGAGTTTAACAGGACTTCAGAGAACATCTAAACTAGGCCCCTTCGATGACTGCCACTTCCTTGTGACTTGGCTCTGCTGGTTCACATCTCCTGAAGTCAGTGTCCTTCTTTCTTTCTGTAGCTGTGATGAAAAAAAGAAAGGAGGAAAAAATAACCCTAGGATTTGGAATCAAAAGACTTGGGCTTATGTCCTGGCTTCACCAGCTCTATGTTTTTGCACGTCCATTAGTTAACCTCCTTGACTCACAGTGACCTCAAGTATAAAATGAGCATAAAAGTCCCTATCTCCCTCGAAGTTCTGCTATAAAGAAAGTATAAGTTAGTGGATGCAAAAGTGCTCTGTAAACTCTAAAGTGCTACACAGATGTTATTATAATTACATGGGGAACATTATGATTCCCAAACCTACTCCATCCTCTTTGGCCTCAGAGTGCACCTGCCTGTGGAAGGTCTGTGTTACTTTAACAGAAAGTTAATTAGGTACTTTGCCCTCCCTCTGGATATCTGCTTGAGTTAGAAGTACAGCTCAGCACACAAGCTCCATCATCCATATTAAAAGTGGGATTTTCTGACTTGGCCTGGGCAGCCAGTTGACCAATAGGTTCCAACGTGTGTTTTCAATAAAGCTGCTTACCCAGGAAGCCTTATTAAGTGAGTAAGTCAAGCTGACATGATTTCTGTGCTGATTAACATGAAAGCTAGGCTGTTTTTGCAATGCAGTAACATTAATTATTTATAGGAGGTAAATGAGGTTACAAAGAAAACAAGCTCCGATTACCAGAAACAAATCGAATCATATATTTATATTTTTTAAAGGCTATGTACTAAGCCCTGCTTTCACTGATTTGAGGTGAGACCCAAGCTTCAAGGATCAACAAACATTTATTAGGTTCTCCCATTTCTGACTTACAAAGGTGATGGAGGGTTTAACATTTCGAACATTTCGAAGACTAGCTGGCAAATTGAGATGCCACAGTGGAGCTTATCAGATACTTTTATTTGGTAAATTATATACCTACAAATCTCTCAACAAATCTGAAAAACAATTCAAACTCTTTCAGAATTGAATCTAAAATACTTATTGTCTAATCTCTTCTGATTTTTAATTAGTTTTCAGATAGCAAATTTTGCATAGAAAATTCTGATTAAACAGTATCTTCCAGGCAAGTGACTTATAAAGTGAACTAAAGGCTGTTTTCCTGTTTGCCTGGACTCCCTGGTAGTGCAAATAGTTAATGCCCTCAGCTACTAATGGAAAGGTTGCAGGTTCAAGCAGGGCTTCAAACTGGTTTCATCCAGTTTGGACCCCTGCTAAGGAGAGCGGTAGTTCTCATAATTTATTATACATAAGAATCACCTGGGGATCTTGTTAAAATGTAGATTCTGATTCAGTATATTTAGGGTGGAAATGAAAATTCTCAGCAGGGGTTCAAACCAGAACAAACCAGTTTCAAGTCCTGCGTTCAGGTTCACTCAGAGGTGCCTTGGAAGAATGGCCTAGTGATTTAATTCTGAGAAAATCAGCCATTGAAAGCCGTATGGGTCAGTTCTACTCTGACATACATGGGGTTGCCATGAGTCAGAACGGACTCAACAGCAACTGGTATGTTTGTTGTCAGTGTGTTCTGTCCCATTTAGCATTTGTTACAGATTTTTCATTTTTAATGAAGTATTAATACAATAGTTGCATCAAAATAAACTTGGATTGATTTGGTAGACCTCTGGCTTTTACTTCTAGCTGCTGCCGTGGTGTTGTCTGATGGTGTGAGATGCATGTGTAATAATGAGTTCACACTTGAACACGTGGGTGAATCTGAAAGATAATCAGTGATAACCGTCCTCTTTTCCTGATCCTTTCTAGACACTGTCACTAACATCTCCCTTTCATAGACAGCACACAGGGTACTTGCAGATAAAATAAAGTGCTCTCCTAATGATGGTGAGATACATAGTTGATGGTCCTGTGGTATACCAGCCAGTCATTCTAGGGCTCTTGCCATTGCCTGGGAGATGCTTGAAGACACCAGTTGGCAAGGTCACTGGGAAGCACGGGATATTACAGGTTTTATATATATATGTATATGTCCAATGCCTCTAAATAGAGACTAAGCAGTCCCTTGTAGAACACATACAAAGTAGTCTGAATTCTCTTGCTACAGCTTTTTATTTAATGTGTAAATATACAATGGTATACTTATTTTATTGTTTGATATGCTTTTAATTTTAGAATATTATACTTATGTTAATATTCAAACCCATTGCCGTGGAGTTGATTCTGACTCATAGTGACCCTATAGGACAGAGTAGAACTGCCCCACAGAGTTGCCAAGGAGTAACTGGTGGATTCAAACTGTCAGCGTTTTAGTTAGCAGCCTGAGCTGTTAACCACTGTTAATATTATATAATTAAAATTATTTTAGGCCCTCTTTCACTTTTATAAGTTTCCTTATTCAGACAATGATTTATATGGCTATGTTATCTATTTCCAATTATGTTGTAAAAGAAAAAAATATGTATTTGGACCAGTGTACCATTTTTTTAAAATGGAAAATCCATGAGAAAAAAACCTAAGTGTAAAAGGAATTAGGGACTGGCACTGCAATGAATAATCAAGCCAGTTTTCATTTCCTATAGTTGATTTTCTTTTACTATACCATAACTAGATGAGTTCCCTTGGAATGAAAGGCTTGGACTAGATGATTATAACTTGAATTCCAGTACAAATTGTGTGCTCGATAGCCAAAGTATAAAAAGAAAGTTTAGTTCTAAATGGAACCAGGTGTCATAGGCACTAACCATTGCTATTCCCCTTTTCCAGATTCTGGAGATGGCAAAAACGTATGCGAAACCCAAGGAAATGGTGGAGCTGGTCAACATACCATCCTGGATGGACAAAGGTCTGGGCTCTCAGAATGAGATGAAGGAAGAGGAAAGAAAACCAGATGCTTATGGAATACTTGGCAGCTTAGCTGAAGAGCATGACAGTATTGAGGAGGAAGAGGAGGAAGAGGATGGGGAGAAGCCTAAGAGAAGAGGTCCTAAGAAAAAGAAGATGACCAAAGCTCGACTTGAGAGATTCAGGGCTCGAAGAGTCAAAGCCAATGCCAGAGAAAGGACCCGGATGCATGGCCTGAATGATGCACTGGATAACCTGAGGAGAGTCATGCCCTGTTACTCTAAAACCCAAAAGCTTTCCAAGATAGAGACTCTTAGACTGGCCAGGAACTATATTTGGGCTTTGTCTGAGGTCCTGGAGACTGGTCAGACACCCGAAGGGAAGGGCTTTGTGGAGATGCTCTGTAAAGGGCTCTCTCAGCCCACAAGCAACCTGGTGGCCGGATGCCTCCAGCTGGGTCCTCAGTCTGCCCTCCTGGAGAAGCTTGAGGAGAAATCTCCTATACGTGACTCTGCTATCTCTGTCCAGAACTTCAACTATCAGTCTCCAGGGCTCCCCAGTCCTCCTTATGGCCATATGGAAACACATCTCATTCATCTCAAGTCCCCAGTATTCAAGAGTTTGGGAGAGTCATCCTTTGGGAGCCGTCAACCTGACTGCAGCACACCCCCTTATGAGGGCCCACTCACTCCCCCTCTGAGCATCAGTGGGAACTTCTCCTTGAAGCAAGATGGCTCTCCTGACCTGGAGAAATCCTACAGCTTCATGCCACACTATCCCTCTGCAAGTTTAAGCTCAGGGCATGTTCATTCAACTCCGTTTCAGGCTGCCACCACCTGCTATGATGTTCCCATAGACATGTCCTATGATTCCTACCCCCACCCTGGCATTGGGGCCCAACTCAATACCATTTTCACTGATTAAGGCAGTAAGATCAGCATTTCAGAGGATAATGTGGAGACATTTCCCAATATTCAAGTAGTTGAGCTGAAGAGTCAATGACCTTAAAGAAACCCTATAGATATCAAACATAATAGTCCTAGTCCATTTAGGCCCCCCATACCTGTCATCCTCTTTTCTCATCAACTTCTCACATTGTATTGATTCCTTTTTTCAGGGTCCTCAAGTGAAATTATTTGATGACTTACAACCATGTGGAACTAGATCTGAAGATCTGGGTCCTATTTCAGTGGTGCCAAAAACCCATTGAATGATCTACGCCAATTAATTTTCCATCTCTGCTCTGTTTACTTACTGGTAAAATGAGGTAGTTGTTTTAAATCTAGATGATTTCTAAAGCCTTTCACAGCTCTGAAGTTCTGTGACTTTGGGGATCATTCCAAACTGAAAGAGCTGAGCAATAATACGAAATGGACACGGTGCAAGGAAATGCCAACAGGAACACAAGGTGCATGTCCCTTGGCTCAAAGAAAGCAAAGGTTTTTGGACTTAATGACAGAACTTCTTTGCACTGTCTAAAAATGGCCCCCAGAGGCTAAAGTTCTAACCTGGCTGTCACTGTGAGTAACAATGCACGTTCTTTAAGAGATTAGCTCTATTTCCTGTTGAGCTGAAAGTTGAACATATCTTCCTTAGTGATCTGGGAACCATAAGAGAGGTCTCATACAACTTGATTCTTGACAATATTTCAAAAGCACTTTTCTCAGAACTAGAGATGGGGCAGGCAAGTCACTTAAACCTCAGACCCCTTTAAGCAGTGGGACCTAGAGAAGTCATCTAGACCATTCCCTCACCTCCATAATAAGAGCTCTGAAAATTCTGATGAAGCTCAGGTACTGCTTTTGGAATCAGCAAACACCCTAGGCCCATATTCAAGAGCAATAAAATGGTTGTTGGCCACACTAACTACTCATAGTTTGGGGACTCCCTCCAGCTCACACTTGCCCGGGGTAAATCACTGTATTTCCCTTGGCAAGATGAATTTCATTTGGTTAAAGTAAACATAATTGAAACCACTGACCTCTGTCCACATTAATAGCATATTTTCTAGAAGCACAAGTACCAATTAATTTAGTGACTAAGACTGAATTTTTCCAACATACATACAATTCCTTATCTCTCCCACCACTAATTATTACCTTTTCATCACTCCTAAGGTACAATATATTATTAGGTATCATTGATCCCATTTCAAGGGATGCAGAAATGAAACACAAGGCCAGTGAGTGCTTTTACCAGTCTATGTTTTCATCACAGGTTTATCCCAACCAGTAGGATGTTTATGTTTCTTCATATAACTTTCCTTTCCTCTATATTAGCATTAATTTTGTAAAATATATCTTTCTCCAGAGAAATTAGATATGAGAAATTTTATTGTCCTGCTCAAGCTGCTTAAGACAAACTCAAGAGCCTAAATTGCTTGCATAACAGTGGATCACATCCTGCTTCTGCCAGAGAGAGTAACTTCAGGACACAGGGTACACCAATAGGACCAATCAATAAAATTGATAAGCCAAATTAGTATTTCATTTTCTACAGCTCAGCTAGCCCCCCGCAAATCCTGCCAAACTATCTCTTTATATTGTTTTTTTTTATCCCTCTTATTTATTATCTCCTTGCAGCCTAAGTATTTTCCTTCCATTTTGCTTGCAGCACTTACCTTGATATATTTTGTACCCTTGGTTTGTAAATCTGCCAGAATATAGCCTTATAGAGAGAACTTAAACCCTACCAGCCACCAAAGTTGTTTCCTACACCACGACCTGCCCTAGAGGAATAGGCAAGCGCAATGATTTTTGAAGCCATCTTGTGTACTTTCTGATTGGAGGTTATTGTTTTCTGACATTTAAATGTGTAGATAATGTTGTCTGAGTTATTTATCAGGTATTATTTATTTAATTTATTTCTTCCTTTCATGCAAATTCCTTGTGCTTCATAGAGGTGGTTGTAAACCCTCCCTAAGGCTTCAGTTGGAAAACAGCACATAATTTTGCTAGGAACTCCTGAATTTTGGGTGAGAGGAAAGGAGGAAGTTAGTCCAGGATCACTTGTAATTATTTTTAAAAAGCAGCAATAATTTGAATGGCTATGCAAGTTGATATTTTTAGATTTTTTTCCTTTAACATGAGCCAGAGCTATTTTTTTTTTTTTTTTTTTTAAGAATCTGTTGTTTGTGCTTTTGAGGCGTATAGGATGCATTAACCAGCCCTCCCTGGGATTGTGTGCAGAAGGATTTTATAATTGAATTAAAATTTGGGAAGGTAATATGCTTGGAAAGAGCCTATTCCTCAACCCAGGGTGGTTGTATCCTCTGGTGACTCTATTTGATAAAGCAAAGCAATTGTTTAAACCTTTTGTAAAAAAACAAAAACAAAAACAAAAAATCTGTTTTTGTACCCCTTTTCTACCTGAAATAAAACTGCAAGTCCTATTAGATATTGTGTTGTGTGTCAGTCTTCAAAGCTTTACTTCACATTCATCTATCCATTTTCTTGGACTCTAAGTCCTGTGAGCAGCCAGCAGAGCACAGGCTGGCCTCTTGAAGGATTTGCACATCCCCGATATCAACTGATCTTGCTGGAAGATTTGAAAGGTCTAAGCTAAGTAGCTGGGAAGCCCAGAAATACTGGTCTTTGCCACACATACAATCAACTCTACAATAAGCAGCTGAGAAAAAAAAAAAAAACTTCACTTTACAGAGATGTTTAGGGCCACGGGCAGTCTAAAGAGCCCTAGTGGCACTATGGTTAAGCACTTGGGTGTTACTGAAAAGGTCTGTGTTTGAACCCATCAGCCGCTCCGCAGGAGAAAGATGTGGCCGTCTGCTTCTATAAAGATTTATAGCCTCGCAAACCCTATGGGGCAGTTCTGCTCTGTCCTGTAGGGTTGCTATGAGTCAGAATTGTCTCCACAGCACCCACAACATCAACATGGGCAATCTAAGCTATCTAACCACAGAGAGGTGGACCATGGGAAGCACTTTAGTGTTATTATTGTTACTATTATCACTGGGAGTAGGGTGGGAACATATAAGGATGTTGAGAACCATAAAACACAGCAGGTCCTTTGAATATTTGCAGTAAATCATTGACTGGATCCAGCATCAAAATTCAAGTCTTTTGACAAGTACTCCGTACTATGCTCTGTATCCTACTTTCCAACCCATCACAAGGACACATTAAATAGCAATCCTCAAAGGCAAACTTCCTGAATTTCAGAAATAGAAAACACACTCTTGCTTCTTCTTCTAGAAAACCGGGATAGACCTGTTGTCGTTGTTAGTTGCTGCTGCATCGATTCCGACTTGTGGAGACTGTGTGTGTTGCAAGTAGAATTGCTCCACAGGGTTTTCAAGGCTGTGACTTTTCGGAAGCAGATTATCAGGCGCCTCTAGGTGGGTTTGAACCGCCAACCTTTTGGCTAGTAGTCGAGCCCCTAACCATGTGCGCCACCTGGCAGGCTGGGAAAGAGTTAAAGGGGCCTTATGGAGATTTATATGATCATCTGGCCTAAGACTATGTAGAAAAAGAGTATTATGAACTCACAAATACATATAATACTATATACTTTATTTCAATTCAATTTTACAAATAGTTACTGAGCATCTCCTCTGTGTCAGGCACCAAGCCAAGTGCTAAGATATAGAAATGAACATGGCCATGCTTTGTTGGGCTTGAAGTCTGGCAGACTGTAAACTAACAAAGCATATTTACATACTTATCATTCAATATTGAGAGCAACGTGAGGCAAGTAGTTCAAGTATTAGAGACACTGTTTGGCAGAGGAGGAAACTGATACTCAGAGACATTTATTGACTTGCTCTCAGACAAACAGCTAAGAGTTAAGCCTGAGACTTTCTGATGCCAAATTTTTTAAAAAAAATTATTATTATTTAGGTAAATAAGGTCGTGCCTTATTTGTGGTTAAGTAAAACACATTTTCTGAGATGAGGTTAGTGGATTAAATGACAATTCTGGATAGTGTAATTTCTGGAAAGAATTAATACAGATATTAAGTATAGCAAAGAAAATTGTGACCAAGGTTAGGTGCATATGCATAGTAACGAGGGAAAGGTGCTAATAAAATCTAAGGAACTTCTTCATGACTGCCATAATAGAAATGACAGAAAAGATGTTTGGTCAAAATCTCTCACGTCTGTAAGTAAGTAAACGGATTAAGTTACTGAATGTGAACTGAAGAAAATTTTTGGAAACAATAGCTAAAAACTCAAGGAAAGGAAGGGAAAGTGTTGTTTACTGGCCATCCACACTATTTATAAGTCACAGAGCCAAGTCCTCTATATTGAGTCAGTCTTCAAAATAAGCCATTGAAATAGGCTTCAAATATTGTAGAAACCTGTATAGTCTTAAGGAAATGGAATACTTTCAATCTGGTATTGATTTAGGAGGCAGTTTTCTAGGCAATGAATTTATTCTCTAGAGGAAATTGCCTCAACATGTTTGGCAACTAGAAGGCCCATAATCTACATTGTGAGTAAAAATAAATTTGTCAAAGGGAAAATTGAGAATTAGTATTAGTCCTAGAATTTTACAATTGCCCTTTTTCCCCTAAGTGGGAAAGAAAAAGATGTTTACTATACTGCAAATACAACAGATTCTCAGCTGTCCATATAAATAATCCATGTTGTGAATTATTGATGAAAAATACTTAATCTGAAGCTTACTTCTCCATGCCAACTGGTATGTTCCTAATTTTCATTGTGTGGGTATGTATGCGTGTGTATATACAAAAACAAATGTGTGTATATTTGGACATATATGTACATGAAGGTACTTCTACATATATATGTGTCTGTATATATTTGGAGGCATGTATATTTGAACAGATACATATTGGTGCAAGTTGAACACACACATATATACATGAGTCCCTGGTTAGTGGAAATAGTTAATGGGCTCAGGTGTTAACGGAAAGGTTGGAAGTTCAGGTCCACCCAGAGGCAC